AATTATAATTTTTGATGAGTAGAATTTGATTTTGGCCGAGTCTTTTATCGAAGAAAGTCTTTAGTTTCATCCCAGATACCCAAAACATAAAATTAATAACTAAAAAGTTTTATAAATATTTATTTGAAAAAAAAGAACTGTGTACAGTACTATTAGTTTATTCACCAGTTAACAGATTCTGCACATTGAGAACATTTATTTATTTGCTCCTATTGATATACTTATCACAAGTGTGTCTTTCAAGTAAAGTACAAATTTATTATACATTTGTCAATGAATCCCCGACGGGTGTTTGGGTAATTGAGCTCCTCGAATTTCTCCTTTTAACCCAAATGAGTTGCGTTCGCCGAGCAAAGAGAAGATGAACGGAATAATGATTTCGTTCGCGCTCTTTGATTCGCTGCGGTGCGCGAATAAAGGGCAACTTGGAAAAATGTGTCAGTCGCAATTATGCACACTGATGTCTGTATCGCATGCCGTAATCGTAATGCAGTTTTTTACCTTATATTCAAGTGCACAGATTAACATCTTAAATGCCACGAAAGCCACGAAAGGCAGCCGGAAAAAACGAAGTGCAATAATTTTAAATGATAGGGAGGAATGGATGTAAAAGAATTACAGCCGTCTCTAAATGTATTAACTAATGAATAAAATTCATTATCAATACTACAATATTCTGCAAACATATCGTATGTAAATATGTGCAACCATCGTGTAGGTATTGAATATCAAGTATTTGTTCATCAAAGTAAAAATCATATAGGTTAAAACAACATCGAAGGTTATAAAGAAAATAGATTCTAAAATATTATTTAACTGATGACGTTCGAATAATTACATTTACTATATTTACTAGTTTTTTAAATTATTCAAAGTTAATGCTAATTTGCACGTTCTAACAAATTTTAAGTATAGATAGATTAGAATCAATATAATAAATCCTCTAGGCGGCATATAAAATGTACATAAAGTTGGTTGTTCAATAAGCAATATTTTTATTATTATTGCTATTTTGCGGCCTTGGTTGTCGGTTATAAAGACGAGATAATAGTAAGTCCCACGCATTCATAATGTGTGATATAACTTAAAATAAAAAAACAATTCAATTTATAGTAAGTATTTAAACTATTGTCTTATGACAAACTCACTCCACTGCAAAATTATAAGTTATATCTTTAGGTTGAAAGCGGGGTTACTTTAGTATAAGCTAATAAATTTTGTCATTGATAATTAAATATGAGCTTAAAATAAGCTAAATAAATTTCATCATTGGATAGTATCAAAAACCCTTCAGTGCAAAATCCCAAAGTCCATATGGATTTTAAAATAGGAAATTATAACCAGGTCACTTTTATATTATGGACCTGCCTTCGCACGTACCGTAAACTATTATTATCCAAACAATAAACATCATATCGTTCATTTTTTTAACGGTATTAAATTCTTTCGAAATTAAAACATCTCTAGTACAAGTTAACAAGTTCACGTTCAAGCATGGCCAAGAGTCCGGAACAAATGAATGAGCTTTCAACGTAAATGCGCTCCGAAGAAATATCAAGATTATGTATAATAATACGATATTATAATTTCAGATAATTACATATCGCACACCCACATCGGAAAAAGTCTCTTTCAAAAATATTTACATTCAAGTTTCATCACGAGCAAGCTCATATACAAAATAGTAGCTTAATCAGTTTTGTATCAATATAATAAATTTATCTAAATACATCATTTTACATCTGCATTTCCAACAACTATATTAACAAAATATGCATGATTGATAGGATCTTGACCTGGGATGACTATCATAAGAGGAATATCATAAACCGTTGCCTTATACGGTGCTTTATTTATGCAGAGACATTGAAGATGTATTATATTATTACATTCCTCTTCGTAGATCATATGAAAGAAGCATGTGTGACGAAAAGGAGCTTTCGTCTTGAAAATAATCAAGAAAACTGATTTGTTTTCTTAATGCAATTAGGTTTATTGAGTGTGAAAAAAGCATTGGGGAGGACTTTGCAATAAATACCGCATGTAAGTGTCAACTTGATATCATGGTTAATAATTCAAATACTCAATTGTTCAATACAAATTTTATTATTTTAGTCCCTTTGAGATTAGGCCAGGCAAAAACTGATAAGCTTCAAACATAAAACTTGTGTGAAAATCATATACTTAGTTCCACTAAAATCATGCATAATATTTTCTTTTAAATCTGTGATGCTATACGCATAAAATTTTGTGTCTGTTCTCACAATGTTTACGAACTGACAAAAATAGATTGATCGACAAGCAAATTCTGTGTTTGTTAAAGACCACCCATTTGCAAACAAATTTTCATGTAAAAAATATCATATAAAATTATTAGTGGCATATCAAAAGGCACCCAATGTTCCAACCGCTTGGTATACCCTATTTAGAAACAACTTCATAATAAACTATTTTTCGAACTCCTTCGTTCATCTATGGAAGGAGTCTAAATCGAAATTCG